AACGGTACATTCCGACAATGAATCGTGACTGGCTAGCAAAATTTTATACTAAAGCCCCCTTCAAACGAATTCATTAACAACAATGTCAATGTTGAACGAAAATTTTAAACCAAGTTCAAACCAAATCCAACATAGTGTTCAAACGAGGCCGACAATGTCGCATCCAGTAATATTGGACCATGTTGCCATGTTGGCCACGTTTGAACGTGCCGTGAACTGGTCGTATAAAGCCTGGTTCACACTAGCAATTTTAAGTGTAGAGCCGCTTTTCAGAAGTAAACAATGCTAAATCTTTTGCATGTCATTCATATTCGATCACATTTGCCAGGAGGAGAACTAATCGACTAAAAGATTGAGTCGCGATCTTTCGAAATACAACAGTTTTGAACGGAAAAGAGGCAGAGTGCGTGTTTATCAATAGAGAATACTTATGATTTTATATATGTGGTTAACAGGTAAAACACCATTATGGTCTGGCCATTGAGAAAGATCGTGACTGACTATCTTTACGACTCCGTTACGACCATATTTAAACCTGGCGCCGGCTTTCATATGCAAACTGTTCTCATGGATACTGAATAAAAACAGTGGACAAGGACAGTGGTCAAAAGTATTTTTAACCTAAATTTAAGGTCCAAAATGCACCGGTCATTTGAAATTTATTTGATCCGTGTATGGATTCTGCGCACGGTCAGGGACGTCGCTATAGGGGGGTGGGTGGGTGGGTGGATGGGTGGGGGGTGGGTGTAACACCCCCAATAATTCAAACGTTGGTCAAAGTTGGTCAAAATGGACCTGATATGTGCCCAAAGTTGGTCAAAATGGAACTGATATTTGCTTAAAATTGAAGGTAAAACTCGGAAAAATTTGGTGAAAGTTTGGGAAATAAGATGGTCGAAGACTCGAAGTTGTTAAAAGTTATGAAATGGTTCGCACTTTTAACAATTTTAAAGCTTCAGTTACGTTTGCGGTGAAAAATCGGAAGCATTGCTTATATTGGTCGAAATTTTTAATATGCTTATAATACAGTCCGGAAAATTTTTTTGACTATATTAGTCCCGAAAATTTTTTTGACCCCTCCCCACGTCGACAACAACATTTCCGGGAAAACATTTTTGTAATTTGGTCAAAACTTAGGAAAAAGTTGGTCGAAACATGAACCAATGTTAGGGGAACTTAAGCATGTAGGACGGCAACACGACGACGACGGCAAACCAATACAAATGAGTCAGTGAAAAGTGAATAAATAATTAAAGTCCCAGGGAGTTTCAGACGTGGTCGTCGCTCTATTTACAACGGCAAATCACAGATTTTCACGTCGTTTATACAACGCCTGCATTTCAATGCGTAACAAGTGCAACTTAGGCAGCGTTTACACTGTACCGTTTTCGTAGCGTTCTCGTATTGTTCTTAATCCTCAAGGGAACGCAAGACAATAGTCTAGTTCTCTCGAACAACACGAGAACGCTACGAAAACGGTACAGTGTAAACGCTGCCTTAGGCCCTGTTTACACTATACCGGATTCGCTGGTCACGACATCTTCTTTTGCCGTTACGGAGCAATGGTTAGTAGCAAATGCTTATTAGTTTGACAGAATTGGCATGTTTATTTGGATCTCTGAGATTAAAAAACTTCACAGCCTTTCGATACCTACAAAATTTGACCCACTCCGATAGCAATCCGGTATAGTGTAAACGGGGCCTTAAAATTCGGTCAGTATAGCTCTTCACGAACATAAAGTCAATGTTTTCAGCTTCTTATACTGTATTAAATTCATACGAATTTTAATATACGACAAGTTTTCTTTAGTCTTAACTATCATTTATTTGAAGGAATTTGTTTTGGCCGTCGTCCTCGTAGCTACTGAATTTGTGTTTTACGTCATGATAAAGTGCAATTGTGCAGTGATAAACATTAGAAATATGCAATGATACCATTTGTTGTGATAAATTTTTATTAATTAATGTAATTAAAATATTAGAGTGTTTTCCAAGGAATTGACTGATAATAATATAACAATGCTTGGCCACTAAAACAATCCAAGAAAAGTCTACCACTGATTAAGGGTGTCACTAAAGGGTGTCGTCTGTAAAATTTTCTTGGGGTACAAGTATCTCTGGACTGACTTCCCCCCTATTGCTTAATTAAGGATTGTGCTGTGATAAATCTGCTAATAAAAACATTTAAATCAATTAAGACATGCATGTTAAATTGGCATGGCAAAAAAGTTCAAGAATTCCTCAGATCAACACTTTTCAGTCAAAAGAACAGTAGACTATATAAAGTCTGTCAATGATGCTTTAGCAATACAATAAACAGAGAAACTACACATGCACATAAAAACGCACAAGTTGTATTAAACAAACCTGCAGCAGACTTGTAGCAATGCTGTTTCAACAGGATATGTTCGCACTTCTTATTCCCAGCTTGTTGACAAGTTGTCAACGGCTTGTTGACAACTTGCTACAAGGTTGTAGAGCTCAACAGACCTAATACATGTTGTTCCAACAACTTATTATCGTCCTGCAATTCAACAATTTGTCAACAAGTTGTGAGTGACAACCTTAATTGTTGCAACAACTTGATAAAATAACAGCATTGTTGCAACTTGTTGACAGCTTGCTACAAGCCTGTTGCGAACACATCTTGTTGACAAGTTGTGAGACAATTAAGTGTTGAAAACTATTTGGTTTGGTTTGGTTTGGTTTGCGACTTTATTTAAAGAGGGTGACACTTTGACAGCAATATAAGTAAAACTGCAGATAAGCTAGTGGCTCTCCCTAATTACAATATATAAACTACATTACAGTACATAAATAGTAGCTATAAACAATACCATTGATATATTTACAGAATTTATGTTATAAAATACTAATACATATTAAAAGATTCAATTATTCAAAATTTCTAGTTTCCTTCTGTTTCTCAATTATTATTGAATTATATAAGTTCTTCTTAAAGTTCGTTATATTAGTGCTTTTTTTTTAATGTCTGGTTGTAGTTGATTGTTCTAACATATATGTTGTGATAATTATACGAGATATATATGGAGAGATATACGAGTATATATGCTGTGATTATGATACGAGAGATGAGGGCAGTATATATATTACCACATATAGGAATACACCCAATAGCTAGGCCTGATAAATATTTTTACTATAAAAATGCTCAAAATTGTGATGAAATAGTGTTAAATATGGCGTAAAGATAACAATGCATTCTGCAGTTCTAGTTGCCTGCTACGGGTGACGTCACTCACCGCATAATAACAAGTTAAAGTTATTCCTTCAAGTAACTTATTCGTCACTGTAATTCACGTTAAATGCAGGATTTTCATATTCCACTGCCTGATCGTCACCCCCTTTCGTATGCGGTGGATACGCATTCGTACCGGGGGGTTGTAGAGATTGATAAAAGTTCCCAGATTCTCTGTTGTCTTTCAAGGACATATAGGTGGAAGATTCTTGTCCTGTAGGAATTTCTGGTTTAGATTCAGCCTCATTTTGTTCCATACATTGTATAACATCGTCAGGAGTTTCATATACGGCGTCGTTATTCACGTACGAATTTCTCTCCTTGATCGCTTTCTTCCTACTTGGAAGGTCTGGAAAGGAATTCACAATATAAAGAATGTAGAACGATTCACAGGGACGTCGTGAAGCCATCAACATTGGGGGGGGGGGGGGGG